CCAAAAGCATTATTGTTATTCTTACTATTACTGTTAATTTGTTGTTGTTAAATCTACTTCAGTTCTAACAGAGACATTTATGTATTTGCATTTCAGTTTATGCTTTAAAAAGGACCCACTGTGTTCAGTAGGAATTAATCCTGATAGATTTTTGACAGGAATCCTTATACCTAGAAGTCTGTCTTGATTTGTATCACCAACATTTTTGTAGTTTTTCAGTCAGAGGGAAGGGGAAAAAAACCCTATTGTACATTTTTCCTTTCTCCTAATGTAAAATACACTCTAAATTCTCCTGTCTGATCATTACTGTTACCAAATATAAATACAAAGATCTAACTTCAGCCTTGCATTGGCCTATGATTTTAGCTCAGGCTGCTAAAAATCAGGAAAATAGAATATACAGTGACTATTTTTGTTTTTGCTAAAATACATGAGATGTTACTCTTTTTTTTTTTAAGATAAGAGAATATAATATAATAAAAATTACATGATTCACCAGAAAATAATTTGCTTCCCTTTGGAGAAGCTGGAATGATACTTAGCAAAATGTATATTTCAGATTATGCATTTAAGAAAAAAAATCAGTGGCTAAAAGAGATTTCACCTCGGTTTGCAAAGACTCTCTTTAGAACCCACTGTGCATCTGTGATGACAAACCTCTCTCTGAAACTGTTCCAAATGTCCCCACAGGTAGCAAATGAAATTCAATAACAGAAAAATAAAGAGTTTTTCCTGTTGGGATTCATTTTGTAGAATGGCTTGAAGCTTACTGGTAGCATTTAGACAGATCTGTTTTCCGTAAAGGAAGCTAGGGATACTGGCTTTCAAGCAAAAGGCATGTTTGCACAAGTTTGTGTGTACAGCATGCTGTAAATGTATGTGTTGGTACATATAAGCAGAAATGTGAGTTTTCTGGACATTTTTTAATCAGAAAATCCTGTGCAAGTGAGTAGGATTCCAGTTAGCAATTCATCTCAGCATCCACAGTCTGTACCAGTATTTATGCTACTTTACTTGATGCAGAAAAAAGTCTGCTGCATGAGGTTTGGACAGTATGGTTAGTAAAACTAAAAACTTTGATGTGTGCAGAATTACTTTTATTGGGATGTTGGAAATAATTTTTGAAATAGACAATAAAAGATCATACAACTTTGAAACTGTCAAGTTTCCACTTGGCTGAAGTGGAAAATTTACTAGCCTACATCTCTGCATATAAGTTGATAGTTTTGAAGAGGCCCAAGTAATCTTTCATCCATGAAAGATCTTCAGTTCCAAAATGAATTTTTTGAATAGCGTGGTTCTGCATGTTTGATTGTCAAGAACAAAAAAAGTATGAAGGGGTAGAAAGTGATTAGTTAGATAGCATACACCCAGAATCTCACTATAATCCCCCAGGCCACTTTGCAACTTATTTAAAAGAAAGAAAGAAAGAAAAAGGCACACTCAAGCATAAATCCAAAGGAACCACATAAAAAAAGGAGTAGATATGCTGCTTTTTTTCTTATGATAATTGATTCAACTGTAAGCCACTATATTGATCTGTTCTGTAATCAGGGAGGGTGGCAGAGGTGTAACTTAGCGTCAAAAATCAAGAATAATTTAAAGCCCTTCTATTATTTTATTTAGCACATGCTGAATAGTTTTGGGAGAGATGCATGGACATCTGTGGGACAGTGGCAAGGAGGGAAGAGTGATTAAACATGCATTATGATGCTAAAAACAAAACTTATGTTCTTGCATCAAATGCCAGGACACGAATACATAAGGGCAGGATTTGTATCTCACATTACCACACATATATCATCATTTTGGCATAATTTCAGTTTGCTGTAGATGCATGCAGAAAGATGAATGGAAAAAAGTGCCCCTCCCCAATCCTATACATAGTTATTGGAAAGATCATACAACTCCTCACATGGCTCTACATACATGCTCTCTCTCGCTTTTGAAAGAGAAAACTAATTATTTGAGTCATGTAGAGGGGCAGCGGAAACAGATAAATGCATGATCTGTTGGTCCTTTCTACCTTCACCTTTCACTATAGATCTGAAAGAGACGTGCAGCCACAAGTAAGCAGGCTGAGAGATTGTCTAAGTGTTTCTAAATAAAAAGAACAGTCATCAGAAGTAAGAGGTTTTTGATTTTCTATGCAGGGTTTGGTTTAGTTTGCAATGTCTGGAGGAATTTTGCTATGAAAAAGATGGTAACGTTTAGAGCTTCTTGATAAAAAGCAAATAAATGAGAGTTGTAACATACAAAATTATGATGATGTGGAGATGCTAAGGTGTTTCTCCAAACTCTATCACACCATAATCAAGGTCATCTACTGAACTGAAAGGCAGGGAATTCAGGGCAGATGAAATTACAGCTTCTTCCTAGTACATAGTTAAATAGTAGGAGTTCATTACCACTAGGTGGTGACCAACTTGTTTTTAAAGGAGACAAGACAATAACATAGAAGGAAATGATATCCATAGCTATATAGTGTGATGGCTATAATATTATCTTCTGTATTAAATGCAGCATTATCTTGATATTATTTGCTAGGATTTGTCAGAAGAAAGGAGCTGTTGTATTCATGTTCTGTTACAGAAAAAGTAAGCTGTACTATCAAGATCTTTGGGTTGACATCTTAGGGCTCTTCTTACAATAATATAGCAGAAATAGTAGTAATTCTGTTTCTAGAGTATACTACTTCAAACTACAAGTGAGAGGTTTATGAGTTTGAATGATTGCTTTCCCATGAAAGATGGGAAATCTTGCACTTAGAAAACCAGCATATTATGAAGAAGATGAGACAGAAACATTTCTCTTTAACAGGCTCTTTTTACATTGGGAATGTTGTTTTGTCTGGAGCGACGTTCAGTCAAGGATATTCCAGCACCAGTCACATACAATACAGCTTTACTATCTCATTTGAGGCATATGAAACTTGGTCTCAGAACATGGGGAAATTAATCTAAGAATCACACAACCTACCTCTGTTCCTTCTTTAATAATAGCCAAGAGAGGGAAGGTGCTGAAAGTTCCTCCATGTGCTGGACAGTCTGCCTTCTTTCCATGATAGTACCGTAATCCAGGAAAATGCAGGGACATTGCCATGCATTGTGCATGGAACATAAATACATATTTTGGAATTAAGCATTAAGCTACTAGCAGTTAAGCATATTTTTATTTTAGTAATGATCCTCCCATCCACCCTTAAGTAATCTCTCATTGTGTTGTGCAGCATTACTCTCTCAGCTGATGAAATCAACAGCTGACTACTCAGAACTCTAATCAATTCTTTGAATATCTGGACGTTTGGAGCATGGGTAGAATTAGAATATTTTAACAGGGTGGCATGGATCATTTTTAGAGTAGACAACTGACATAAAGCGCATGCTAGATGATCAAAGCAGTGTTCTCTCCATTATGCAAAATGGATTAAGCTGAAATTTTTCAGTTGCAGAATTCTTTTTTATTACACAAGCCTATTTTCATAACCAATCTTGCCAAATAGAGCAGTTGTGCCTGACAGGTAGGAACTGAAGAGGAGAAGCTTTTCCTAGCATAATGGTAATGTTGAGTGGTATCGAGTGGTGAATTTGTCCTGTAGTATATATGAATGTCTGTGGGGATCAAGGAGATCTCCTATAGATTAATAAGGAGAATCCAGCTGAAACAGCCCATTTGCAGAGTGGAGATTGACTTGACATCTTCACACATCGGATATATAACTCTAGAGAGTACCAGGGGCTAAGGCACAGAATTATTTCAAGTCCACTACTAAGCAAGTTCCCACACCTTCTTTCACTTTATTGGTTCACGCTCAGGGAATGGAGATGGGCTACTACATGCTGGAAAAAAGGGTTGGATAATTTTTTTCCTCCTTTTTCTTAAATCATTTCAGGCCTCAAGGAATGTATAGATCATAGTGGCGATGCAGGTAACATCGCTGGAGTGTGTGGAGATGAAATTGTCGACTTTTCTTTCATGGGGCAGTGGGCACAGACAATCCAAAACTTGTATTTTATTTTAGGTTATGAGGCATCTTGAGTGCCCTGTGGGTAGAACGGCAGCATTTAAATCATATATTAACAGTGATAATTCCGCCCCACAAAATTGCCCTTTTACTGCTGAATTTTGGCAGAGTGATATAAGTTATTCAGTCAGTCATTTATTCATATAGCTCAATGGCAGAGTGCATATCCAGTCTCTGGAATCTCCACTTTAAATGTGATGCTGCAGGAATAGAAAAGTCTTATACCTGAAATCCTGGAGTCCAACTGCCAGCCGTAATAGGCAATACTAGGGCAGAGGGACAGTAGCCTAATCTGACCAAAGTTATACATGCAGGATGTTTGATCTCCTCAGGCTTGAGGAGTGGTTGTAAGTCCTTTTGTTCAGCGCCATCATAACTTCGAACTGATGCTGAACAAATGCATATTAAGTGAGGATTACCTGTAGTTCATTATGCCACTAGGGAAACTAAGGGGGTGGGGGTTACAGGAAAACATACGGCAGGAAGCTAAGAAAGCCATCTTCCTCCCGTTGAATTCAGTGAGAAGACAGTGGTCTACAATAGCTCTTGTCCTGCCACAGATTCCAGCTATGTGAGTGGGTTTGTCTATAAAATGTTGAGGGTTTGGAGCTGGCATTCTCCCCTTTACCAACCAGGACCCACTGCTAAATCTGCAGATTAAACTTTATCAACACTACAATGTGGCTGACAAAAATCTTTCAGGGAAGCATTTCTGTAAATATCTACAATAGGGGAGAGCCAGGGCTAGATCTGCCATTTCTCCCCTTTACCAACCAGGACCCACTGCTAAATCTGCAGATTAAACTTTATCAGCACTATAACGTGGCTGGCAAAAATCTTTCAGGGAAGCATTTCTGTAAATATCTACAATAGGGGAGAGCCGGGACTAGATCTGCCATTTCCACGCTATTCACATAATGAACTACAGGTAATCCTCACTTAATATGCATTTGTTCAGCAACAGTTCGAAGTTATGATGGCGCTGAACAAAAGGACTTACAACCACTCCTCAAAATTTCAGCTGTTGCAGTGCCTCAGCAATCACATGAACAACATTCAAGCCCGCCCGCATTTACAACTGCCTTTTGGCCTCCTGCCTACCTGCTGCCACCAGCTACTCCTGCTGCCCATCCCTGCCCACCTGGCCCTGCCCACCATCATGCCCACCACACCACACACTACTGTACCCGTTGGGGCCTCCTTTTACGCTGCCTTGTTTCGTGCCGGTGCAGCCAGGGTTTCTCTCACACACCGGCCGGGCCCTTGCAATGTTTTACACATTTCTATTTTTAAAGGGTAAAAATAATATTAACTAAATAAGCCATTTACATGTGCAGTTCTGCTCTGTCCTTTATTTGAGGTACAATTATTATCTACAGATAAACAGTGTTTTCCCCAAATGTCACTAAAACAAACTCACTTCATCATCTGAAAAAATGAAACGGATTCCACACACCTGGAATAAGACTGGAAGTTTGTGCAGTGTCGGAAAGTTGAAACTCATTTGAGTTTGTATGCCATGTCATTTGGTGAGTGCATGGAAACTATTGATTGTATCTGTGCCTTTGACAGGGACAAATGCTAAACATGGATTACGCTGTAAGGCATGCAAGCTGAGCATTCACCACAAATGTGCAGAGAGCACTGGACAGCAACGGTGCATGGGCAAACTGGTAAGCCAATATAACTATTGAATAAACCTGAAAATAAGGCTTAATAAGAGATGTAATCCAACAGATCCCTCCAGTCATCTTGATTTAGCTGAGTTAAAGGCATATACTTGCATTACTCAGAGGCGGCAGAAATCATTCCTAATCTGTTGTGTTTAAGAAGCATTGGTGCCTGTAGACAAAGATAATGTTGAGTGCTTTCTTTTTGTACAATGTGAGGGCAGGGTTGGCATTAGAGATCAGAACACTTGGCTGATGGCCAGGGCCCACGTTTCTGCAAGGATTGCTGACTTCTACAGTCTTCTGGGTCTTCCTTTGTGTGCCTCTGACTATTTCCATCCTCTGCTCAGTTTGCAAGCAATGACAAGGCTGAAGAAGAGAAGCAGTGTGCTCTTCTTGTCTTACACTCTGTTTCTGGACAGTTTGCCGATTCTCCAAATCCAGAGATTTGTCAAAAGGCAGATACTAGCTGGAACCCTACAACTAGTGACACCAGCTAGGAGGAGCAGTTGAGGCTACCTTGACTAAGGGCCACCCAAATAGTGGACTCTGCCCTAGGTTCAGCAGTAAAGCAAAACTGGTTTCCTGTCTTACTTCTGAATCAGAGCAAAAGTCTTTTGCAAGCTCCTCTCCAGGGAAGCACCATCTGAGTTCCTTTGCAGCACTTTATTGTGCATATGCCATCTGTATTATTTCAATGGTTTTATTCAAATATTCATTTGCAATGTAAACCTGTGGTTATGGGTATTTTGCTAGATAAGAATTTCTATTGTTCAAATTGCGGGAGGCCAGGAATCCATCTCTTCCTAAACTGAAAGCTCTTCACCTATGGACCTACCTGAGAAAACATGAGAATTGCCGCTTCCAGGTCTCCCTGACTCCCGTTTCCTGTGTGTCATGCATTCATTTTCTTTCTCTTCCTTTCTAGCCCAAAGGTTTTCGTCGTTACTACAGCTCTCCCCTCCTCATTCATGAGCAGTTTGGCTGCATCAAAGAAGTGATGCCAATTGGTAAACTCCCATTAACTTTCTGTTTTATATTGTTTCTGTTTTTCTATTCTGTGAGTCTTGGTGTTCAGCAGCCCACACGAACTTTCCTGTGTTTTCATTTGTGACACTCACTTTCTTTCCTGGAGGTGTCCAAGCCTTGTCGAAGCGGGAAAACTTCAAAAAGAAGGGGGGGGGGAACAGATGGAACAGCAACACTAATTACATGTTATGCAGAGTTCATGAACCTGGAAATTCCCACGCCAAGCCACAGAGTTGGGGGACTGTTAACAGCATAAACAAAAGTGGGATATGATTCCAAAGTTTTTTTTTCCTCTTTACAAGCTACATAGATGGGGGATTCTAATTCAGTCCCATTACCTTTGAGGGTGGGGGGGATCCACAGTCAGACCATGATACACTACAACTGCATTTGATTAGTGAGTGGAGACAGCACAGACACTGAAAGTCAAAAATAAGTAGCAGGGGATGAACTGCCTATATATAGCAAAAATGAAAGTGTTTAGTCATCTACAGTTCGCCCAGGTAGCTTCCTGGCTGAATTATAATATAAATTAGGTCTTCCAGATTCTAGCCAGAACCTATTAACTGTACTAACCAACTTGTCTTAGGGCTCTTCCCCACATCCCCTGCAGTGTGGATTCCTCCTGTCCTCAGTTTCTGCTGTTACTGTTGAGGGACCAAGGAGCAAGGTAGAGGATTCTACCTGCCAGTGTCCTACCCCCACCAAAAACATAGACTCCTTGCCTTCCTGCTTGTCTCCCCGTCACTGACTGATTCCATACACCACCCATGGAGCCCTTCAAAAGCATGGGGCAACAATGGCAGCATGGCTACAGCATGCTGGCTGGCTGGGCCTTTGCTGTGCCATTGCTGCCATGGAGCCAAAAGGCCAGTAATGGCAGGCCAGAAAGTAAAGGCAAGGATTGCGCTGGTGAGATGTGGCAGAAGTTACCAGTAGAAATAGGGATCTTGCAGAATACTTTCTGCAAGGTCACTATTCAGGAGGCAGAGGGAGGGAGGGAATATTGGCTACTAGATGAAGCTCTGTTCTCTCCAGCAGTCAAAGGAGAAATGGCTTTGGTGGCACAGAACCTTGCAGTGAGATGGGCAGAGTTGTCTTGCAGTGGTCCAGGTGGAGCCCTACAAATCTCTCAGATTCCTTCTCCATTCAGCATAGAATCTTTGCATAGGCAGTCTTGCTTCATTTTCTGCTGGGATCTTTTTGATCCAGCCACAAAACAGATAGTGGCTCTGGTGTGATGACATGTCTTCCACAAACAATAAGCAGCTTTTCTCAAGGCTAGGGCATGGGGATGGTGTCTGGAGGCTGTGTTCCAAGATCTAATCCTCTGCCAAACGTTGTTGTTGTTTTTAAAGAACCAGTTGCCATCATGGAATGATGCATGATATTTTGCAGTGTGTATGGAAAGAACTTGCCTTGCCTTATCTCTCAAATGTACTGATGTTTTGCTTTTTCCCCTCAGCCTGTGGCAATAAAGTTGACCCTGTGTATGAAACACTTCGCTTTGGAACTTCCTTGGCCCAGAAAACCAAGAAAGGCAGTACTGGAAGTAGCTCAGACTCACCAAAAAGGAATTCTGTAATTATACCATTCCTTTCTGTCTCCTTTAAAACTCTCTTAATAGGATCTGGGCTTCCTTATGTCCCTGCCTCACAAAATTCATAATCTACATTTTTACTTTCATGGGGGGGGGGGGGAGAGACACCAAAGGAGAGCCAAGAATGTAAATATTAAGGATAAAAGGAGTAGGAATGAACAAATTTAATTAAAAGCATTGAAGATTTTGAACTAAAGGATTGAGCAAAGGCTTTAGAGAAATAAGGAGCAATTTGAACAAGATGAAGGGTTAACAGAATATGGTTGCTGAAACAAACAGGACAGCAAGTGAAAATAGGCAGAATCATGTAAGGGAGTTCAAGATCCTGAGCTGTCTGGGGCTGACAGAGAAGGTAGAACTTCACTTTCCCAAAAAGCCCAAACTAGACCTTTCTGAAGGAAATTCCATCCCATCCACAGTCAAATCTGGCTGGCACACCAAGCTAAACAAACAAAAAAGGAAATATTTTCAATGGCTGTAAGAGAGCAAAACAGAAATAGAACAGTTGGGAAATCCTGCTTTATGAGTTTGAGTTAGAATACTGATAATTCTGCCAGAAGAATGGGGCCAGAATTATTTCTGATCATTAAGGAGCAGCCAAA